CGATTGCTCGACGCTCTCATTTATTAAAAGATTTGTATTCGGCGAGTATCGGCTAACACCGGGCGATATAAGAGAAGCATCTCTTGGCGACGTGAAGAGAAGTGAAAATGTTCTCTGATGACGACGAAGATGTCCTGGATATGTTGAACTTAGTAAATTTAGCGAACATTTAAAGAGAAAGGAAATACTGGGTACATCCATTGTGGTTGTAGTGGTGCGTTTAACGTTTTGAGGGAGCTCAACATGTATCCTAAACGTTTTCAAAGTTTCTACCGAATGTCTGTAGACTGTTTCTACAGAATATTAACTAATAGTAAGAGTTGATCTTAAAAAAAAAATCTACGAATTGGAGGGAACCTGACAGTCCAGAGGAGAGGCTGTTAATAATTTTGAGGTAAGTTGAAAAAAATAATTATGTAGCTTCATTTATTTATACAAATAAAAAGATCAGAAAGTTACAAACATAAGTATTCACAATTTTACATAGTAAAAAAACAGTAAGTCTTCAAAAATGACAAACTATAACTTAAGTTCAATACAAAATAAAAAATTAAAAAAACCATTTAATTGTCGTATTGGATGAATTCATTCATATTGAAAGTTTTCGTGTTCTTTTGGGACGTAGAATTCAGATTTGTGATCACTGAGTCCCGAATCCAAGGTAGAAGTTCCCCTGAGGCTTTCGTATTTCTCTGTGACATTGCATCCAAATTTGTATTCACTGAGTCCCGACTACAAGACTAAGAGACATTCGTTGGTGGAGCAGGAACTGCAGAAGTAGTAGAGGACAGTACTTGCTCGGACAAATTTAAAATTCCCATTTTGAAATGTCGCTTCTGGGTACTGTTCATAGACTTCATGTCCGGGAGAACACTGTTTGTCTTGTTAGTCATGTTTTGACTATCCAACATGTGTTGTTTTTTTTTTTCAAAGTATTGATAAGCTTGATTGTTAACTTCATTGATGGAAATGGCGGAGTCTGCTAAATTATTTCTTTTTCTAAAATTATCTCTTTTCGCTATTGGTGTTTCAGGTACTTTTATTAATGACGGCTCAGTATAAGTAGAGGTACTAGGTTGATGTGAATGGGAGGAAGCCATGGGTAAAGTACTGTTATTAGCAAGGGACAACACCTCAGCACTCTTGGTATTAGCTTCGATGTTCACTCGTGCCTGCCTCCTCGCCATCTGATGTGTCCAGTTCTTCATCCAAGAAGAGAAGATGGAGCCAGATAGTATTCTTTAACTCGTTTAGCTCCCTGTCCTGATTTTGTTTTTAGTTTTGCCTTATATTTTGAATAGCTACCTCTTATGTTTTTCCATCTGTCAACAACATTATATCTGTAGGCTGGTTCATGAGCTAGGAGGTGCCTATCTTTTTAGGAGGATGCACAATGGGCCTAATGAGGCCTAAGTGCCGTGAAGTAACTCACCCTCCACACGTTACAGATACAGATACAGATAAAGAATAAAAGAACTTGACTTAAAATATATAAAAATACATTGGCTATTGGAACAAAAATAAAAACTTTTAGTCCAATGAGTTAATGTTGTAAAAACAGAATTTAAAACAAGTCTGGCTCTATGGAATTCACCTCCAATCTATGCAGCAAAGAGCAGTATAGATAAAAATCAAATAATATTTTATAAGAAAGTAGTTTGAGATATTTTAGATGTGTATTAGAAAAAGGAATATCTTCACAGATATTTGAAGATACGAGGGACGATTCCAAAATTTTGAGAATGATGCTATAATTAAATTACGCAGAATTTATGGACAATTCTATTGATGCCAGACAAGTTCTGACATGTTTATGCAACTATCTAGTGCAATATTGTTCAGTTTGATTTAGGTGTTCGACTGATATAAAAGCGTTTTCATAGCACCATTTTTGTATCCATGGAAGACGCAGCACAATTTTAAAAAGCAATAATTTTCTTTTTGTGAAAAGATGGTGTAAAAACATCAGAAATTATTCAGAGTCTACAAGGAGTATTTCGCGAATTTGCAGAATTCAGAAGCACTGTCTATCGATCATTCTAAAACCGGTAAAACATCACTAGAAGATGATCCACGCAGTGGGCGCCCAAGCACGTTGATAAATAAAAGAAATATTACTGGTGTTGAAGACGTACTAAAAGAGGACAGGCGAATGACTATTCATCAAATTAGTGTACGCCTAAGGATAGGTACATGACAACTTGCATGATCGTTTGGGCCTTAGCAAGGTTTCGGTTGGCTTGGTGCGAATGCTGTTGGAACCAGAACAGAAACGTAATAGATCTGATACTTATCATCAACTTCAAGAGCTGCTGTTCGCCCGTTACGGTGATGATTTTTGGCAACTAATGAATTGTCGATTCCTTATTTAAATCCTAAGACCAAAAGTCAATCCAAAAAATAGCACAAACCTGAAGGTTCTCCACTTAAGGCGAGTGCTTACTGTATTCTGGAATTGCGAAAGGATTAATTTTATGGATTATCTGGCGAAAGGTACTACAATTAACGCAGAATATTATTCGAATTTATTATCCGGAACACTGCGACAGGCACTTGTCAAAAAATGACTGGAAAGTTGCATAAGCGTCCGTAATTGAAACAGGATAATGCAAAATCACACACCGCAAAATAACTAAGCATGTTTTGAACGATTTATGATGGGAATTGCTTCCGCACTTACCTTTTCCCTGAATCTTAAACCCAGTGATTATGATCTCTTCGCAGATTTGAAAAAACCTTTACGGGGTGCCATAAATAGGTGGATTGAGGAGACACCGAAAAGTTCTTTGAGGACGGCTTAAAAAAATTAGTTGCTCGTTGGGATGAATGTATTCAGTTAAATGAAGATTATGTTGAAAAACTACATTGTAATGTTGACGAAAATTAGCAAAATAATAAAAATTATAGCTAAATTTTCAGAACTTTGGAAACATCTTTCGTACAGAACATCACAGAAGAGATCGAGATATTTACAGGGAAAGATGAAGAAAGACTCCCACAACAATATCGAGGTCCATCAGATCTTAGATAATGCAGACCTAAAAAGAAGACTCATAAGATTAAACCTTTAGTGACTGTGTAGTAGAAGATGTTATAGCAGAGTATAGTAAAACAAGCCAAAATTGTGTCTATTTTATAGTCTAAAATACGTCATTTGGATTATCTTATATAGAGAGAGTCTGTAATTTGACATAAATTCAATAGTTCAAATATTAATGTTTTTTTTTTAAATTGCTCAGACCCGTCGATTAGTATTTTTATACGCGATTTTTTACATACAATAATAATGTAAACAGGGTGTCCCAATTTAGAGATATGACGTCATCGTTGATTTTGTTAAAAGGCAACACTGTCATTTTGATGGCTCTCTTTATAGGGTTTCAAAAGTTGTACACAACTGCCAACTATCAAATTTTTATTCCTTGAATTTAATTATTTCCTAAACGTGATCGAAATTCGTTCTGAACATTTCTAATGACTTCGGGCGAAATTAATCTACTCATTTCTTATTCGTCCTTTTGGCTCCTCAATATTTGCCAGTTTGGTCTTAAAAATTTTGTTTTCCAAGTACCCCATAAAAAAAGTCCAAAGGATTAAGATCTGGGGATCTCGGTGACCTTTCAATAGATCTTCTTCTATCTATTCACCTGCCTAGAAATACAACATCAAGATACACACGAACTAATTCTTCTTGCAGGAATTCCAAATATCGTACTACAATGAGAGTTTCGACAAAGAATATTTGTCCTATAACTTGATTTCCTACAATCCCTGCCCAAACATTCACTTTTTCTGGGCGTTGAGTATGGCCTGCCCTCATCCAGTGTGGTTTCTCATACGCTCAATATGGACAATTTTGTCGGTTTACCTCACCATTTAACATGAACGTAGATTCATCAGAAAACAAAATGTTCTCTACTAGAATGTTGTTCGTGTCCAGTTGATCCATAATTTGTTCAGAAAACTGCTGTCTTCTATCAGGATCATCTTCCAGTAATTCCTGGAGGATTGTAAGTTTGTAAGGATGCAATTTATGTGCTTTAAGAATTCGTGCTATTGACGACTGGCTAATTTCAATATAATTAGATATCTGCCTGGTAGAGATCTTTGGATTTTCTTGAACAGATAGTAGCACAATGATTTTGATATCTTCACTAAGAGTAGTCTGTCAATGAATACTTGTTTTTCTTATATGCCCGTTTTTCCTAAATTGTCTTTATATTTTACTTATAGTACTTTGCGATATGGGTGGCAGGTCAGGATATTTTTTTCTGAATAGATGCGTAACTTCCGTTTGTGTTCTTGCTCTACCTCCATATCCAATCATTTGTAAAATTTCAATCTTGAGCTTTTCATTTAAATAAACCACATTGAACGATCTTTCCAAAAGAAATGACTTTATTAATAATACTGATAGACACATAATTTATGACATGAAAATTTTTAGGTGTTTCTAAGACAGTTTGATACCCTGAAGTCAAATCTGGAAACAGATTTTTTCTGTCACTTACAGATATTCTGTAACCTGCGGCTTTAGATTTTACAATACGTAAAATTTCATTATAGCGCATAATCTCATATTTTTATATGATTAGGGATCTATCCGGTTTAGACCGGTTTCTGCCTGCTTGTTCGAAGTAAACAGCGCGTTTTAGGATCATTTTATTTTACAAAATTTATCAGTAGACTAACGGGATCCGAATCGGTTAGGTTTTCTGTGTTTGGAGAGCAAAACGTTCACATTCTTTTACGTTTAGTAAATTACTGTGTTTAAGATTTTTAGGTACAATGCCTAGGCAGTGCCTAAACATTTTTTGTTATGTGTGCGAAGAACTAACTTTTAAATCGCAAAAACGTAATTTTACTCCGCTTGTGCTAAAAGCTTACGAACTGTATTTTGGTGTTAAGGTTGGGAACCAAGACAAAACATGGGCCCCTCATATCTGTTGTAAAACTTGTGTAACATTGTTAACAGCTTGGTTTAAGGTTCAAATCGTAAAATGCCCTTCTCAGTGCCAATGGTTTGGAGAGAACCTAAAGGCCATGTTACAGACTGCTATTTTAGCCTCACGAATATTAAAGGTATTGGATCGAAGTCTCAACATACGATTAAGTACTTTAATTTACCATCAGCTTTAAGACCTGTTAAACACAGTGAACAACTTCCTATTCCAAAAGCATCAGAACCTTGTAGTCTCGATGCTAAACTTGAATCGACTGGTTCTTTAAGTGATGTTACAGAAACCGCAAAGGAAATTACAACCCATCCTTTATTTGATTTACCAGGATGTTCAACAGCGCCGCATCTAATTTCACAGGGTGAACTTAATGACTTAGTTTAAGATCTAAGCCTATCAAAATCGCAGTTCGAACTTTTAGCATTCGGACTAAAAGGTTGGAATCTTCTCCTAAGTGATGTAAAGATTACTTTTTACAGAAAAAGGCAGAAAGACCTCACAAATTGCTTTCTTCAAGAAAGGGATCTAGTATACTGTTTAGAAGTTAACCTTTTCTTTAACGCACTGGAATAGAAACATAATCCACGTGATTGGCATCTATTCATTGATTCCTCTAAACTTAGTTTAAAGGTGGTATTAGTTCATAACGGTAAGGAATATCCATATGTGCCCTTAGTTCATGCGGTTCATAAAAAGGAATCATATGAGAATATGAGAGTTCTTTTAGAGCACATCCGTTATCATGAGTAATGTTGGGCAATAGGTGGAGACCTAAAAGTAATAGCCCTTCTTCTTGTAATGCAACTAGGATATAAGAAATATTGTTACTTTCTTTGCGAATGGAATAGCCGTGCGTGAGACCGTCATTATGTACAAAATCACTGGGCAGTACGTCAGGCACTAACTCCGGGATAAGAAACATTACTAATGAACCTCTAGTTGATCCCAAAAAGGTATTACTACCACCTTTGCATATAAATTGGGTTTAATGAAGAATTTTGTTAAGGCAATGATCAGAAATGGAGAAGGTTCTTGTATGTGAAACAAAAATTTCCAAGAATCAGTTAAGCAAAAATTAAGGAGGGTATATTTGTGGGTCCGCAAATAAGAGAAGTAATGAAAGATGAAACATTTGAGGAAATGCTCAATGAAACTGAACTACGAGCCTGGAATGCTTTTAAAGGCGTTGTTGCAAATTTTCTTGGAAATGTGAAAGCTGACAATTACACAGATCTTGTGACTGAACTACTTACTGCCTATAAAGAAATGGGTTGTAACATTTCCCTTAAAATTGACTTTCTGGACTCCCATGTGGATTTCTGCCTCGAAAATTTATGGGCGGTAAGTGACGAACATGGGGAACGGTTCTACCAAAACATATCTGCTATGGAAAAACGGTACCAAGCCAAGTGGAGTGCCAGTTTGCTTGCAGATTACTGCTGGACATTGTTAAGGGATACTCCAATAACAAAATATCGCCGAAAAACATCGATAGTAACATTTTAAAGTACTCTTTGGTTAATAAAATAATATAACAATAATATATTTAACCGCTGTTTTCTTAAAAAACAAAAATACCTCATAGCAAAAAAACTATAGGTGATAGAAGAAATCTGTAGCTATTTTATGCTTTTGTGGCAATTTTTACATAATAAACACTTTGTTTTGTTCATGTCACAAAAAACAAGTGGTTTTTTGTTTATCAGTGTAATCGATATGTATATTTAATCTTCAAAACACTTGTGGACTTGATAAAAACCACAGCAATACCATATTTTTGTTTAATACCTATATTACTCGTTTTTTCTTAAAATGATAATATACTATATAAGTTGTCCAAGTCTTAAGCCATAACATTTTCCAATTTGATTTTCTTGTAAATGGTAAGGAACAAAAATTTGATATCTGGCAGTTAAATACCCTAGTTTTAAAAAATTAAATTAATATTACAGGTTAGTCGCTGCCGACTAATAATAACAAATTTATACAGAAAGAACCAAAAGATTATAAAATAAACACATTCTAAAATATGAGCAATTCTAACCAGTATCAAACTGTTAAAAAAATAGAATGGAAAAATTGATGAGCTCTAGCACTTAAAGTGTCCACAATTAATTTTACTATTGATATTTTTTATTAAACATGCATATCGCTATTAGCGGACCCCTCACGTTCACCTGTTATGTATACCACTGCATTCGTAAACGCAAGATGTAAGAGAACAAGCACAAATTGTGAAGGAACAACGCGTGGGCTTGAACAACATGACGAGGTGAATTTTTGTTAGACATCGAAACGCCCAATATTAGTTTTTATTCGAGAATATTGAACATAATCACAGTGAAAAAAACATTCGATAACATCTAAATCATGTCATGGAAGAGAAAACAGGTTTCATTTTAAGTTTGGCTTGTGAAGACGATATCTCGAAAGGTGATGCATTTTTCCTCATTATGTAACATTGTTGCATCTTGTTATCTGACGGGTCAGTTACGGTTTATTCATACCTTTTCTGTGTTTCGGACTTATAAAACAAAATATGTATATAATTAACTAAACGATCAATCTGATCAACGTCGGATATAACAACAAATCAAATAGAGCTAAGGAGTTCAAGTTATTTATAATCACTGAAAAGGTAAGTGATAAACTGATTAAAGGATTATTCATAATGGTGGTCCATAAACATAGATACCGACGGTCTTGAAGTCGATAAGAAAAACAACACCAACACAAGACATTTTTACTATTACTGATTTACGAAAATCATTTTGGTAGTAAATAATAATTATCAATTTTGTTTTTCTAAACAACGTTCTACATTTTCTTTAGTAACAATTACTGTAATTTTTCGCTTTCGACATTATACATTTGTACTTCATCAGGGGCGGTATACGGTCACTAGGCGTTGCTAGTACACATGTCTACTACCAGTCGGTAAATAATCTCAAAGTTTCACATGTTAATTTTTATAGTTGGTTCAGTGCTTTTCAGATAAAAGTATCCACCTTAAGTAACTTTTGAAGGACTGATTATTACAAAAAACCAAAAAATACGTCAATTAATATTCGAAGGGGGAGATATCGTGCCATATTTAAGTTTGCTAAAAAAGTCACCCTTTCACCCCTACTATCATCCCTTCAATTTTTTTAAATGGCTTGCCCCATTTTTTTATCCATTTTTGGATTGCTCTCGTTTAACTGATTTCAAAAATGTATAAAACATGGGGATTAAAGTAATTAGTTCTAGATCTACAGAATTTTAAATTAAAATAAAATTGAATTGTGCAAAACTTTTATTTTAACGATTTTGTCACAAGCGTTTCCAATGACAAAACGAATATTTCATTTTCAAAATTTATTATAAAAATTGTTCAAAATGTCTATGATTTACTTCCATACAATGGTATAACCTAGATTGAAAAGCCTCCCTGACATTACCGAACACGTGTGCATTTAAATGTAGGCATTCATACTCTATTATTTGTCGTAAATCTTCTAAAGATTCTGGTTGGGTAGCATAAATTTTTGTTTTTAAATAACCCCATAAAAAGAAGTCTAGAGGTGATAAATCCGGTGATCTAGGTGGCCACTCCATCATCGAGCCTCTTCTACCTATCCAACGATTGGGGAAAGTTTCATTTAAAAATTGTCGAACTGGCAAAGCAAAATGTGGAGGCGCTCCATCCTGTTGAAAGACAAGCAAATCTTTAGAAAGATTATGATCATTTTCTATTATTGTTGTAATACGTGGATCAATTACTTCTCTCAATAACTCAAGATATGACTCTCCATTTAAGTTTCCATCTAAAAAGAAAGGTCCGACTATGTGGTCACCTAGGATACCACACCATACATTTAACTTTTGAGGATTCTGTGTGTAGTATTCACGCACAACATGTGGATCACTCTCAGCCCAATATCTGCAATTATGTCTATTAACTAAACCATTAACTGAAAATGTGCATTCATCCGAAAAACAAAGGTTGTACAACAAATGTGGATTGTTAGTCAAGCGCTGACTCAATAGTTCACAAAATTCAAGACGACGATCAAAATCATCTTCATACAACTCTTGAACCAATTTAATTTTGTATGGATGGTACTTATGCTTGTGTAATATTCGATAAACTGTGGAAGATGAAACACCTACTTCTCTGCTTATTGTTGTCAGTGACTGTGCTTGTTGATTTTCAAGACTTACTTGTCCTAAAACTGCGACTTCAATTGCTTTGTTATTTACGAGTTCCAGTCGGTTATGTTTTTTATTGCCAACTGACCTGGTTGATGTAAATTTATGCATAAGATCAATTACATACTTATGAGTTGCATGACTTCCTTGGTGTGTTTCGTTGAAAATTCTAGCAGCAGCTCGTGCAGAACTGTTATTTTTGTAGTATAAACCTACAAGTTCAATTCTTTCTTGTAAAATGTAAACCATTTTCAAATCAAATAAATAACCTCAACAAATCAATGTGCACATGTATCAAAATACACTATAAAAGTAATTTAAATTCATATTTCAAATCTCCAATACCTTTACCATGTATCATAAAAAACTTCAACGAGTTTTTAGCGGTACGATTAAGGTATAATGTATTCTAAATCCAATTTTGCTGCAGTCAGTAAGGTGAGATGTAAAAATGCGTCACTCAAATAATGGAACCCTGTAGATCATAAACTAATTATTTTAAACCCCATATTTTATACATTTTTGAAATCAGTTAAACGAGAACAATCCAAAAATGGATAAAAAAATGGGGGAAGCCATTTAAAAAAATTGAAGGGATGATAGTAGGGGTGAAAGGGTGACTTTTTCAGCACACTTAAATATGGCTCGATATCTCCCCCTTCGAATATTAATTGACATATTTTTTTGTTTTTTGTAATAATCAGTCCTTCAAAAATTACTTAAGGTGGATACTTTTATCTGAAAAGCACTCTATATGCCATATCCAGGATAAGTAGTTCAAACCGCTTTCGATAGATTGCAAACCCGCTCATGTCAGGGCCTTCAGGGGCAGCCAAAGCCACCTTAGACCACAAGAAGACACAACCAGGGACAATATAATCCAAATGACAGAAGACACAGAAAGTCGGCACATACACAGCAGAGGTCGCACCCTTTCACAGCCCAAGAAACTATATATCTATTAAGATAATAAGGAGTGTGCATGATCAAAAGAACCCTTACAAGCATGTGAGAACTCATAAATCCAAACTTACCCCAAACTACAGATTTCACAGTGATAGAAACTCATACATTGAAAAAAATTCACACCAAAAAAATGTAGAGAAAATATAAAAAAGTTCAAAGAATACTCAAATTAGCACTGAAAGCTGGTCCGGCAGAGTTAAAGAGACAAAACTAGCTAATGTGACCAATTTGCAACCATCTCGAGAGTTAGACAACAGCATTAAGGTATG